AATCTAGCCTCTTGTTGCCTTCAGAAAGGCATTACATTCCTATAACACAGTCTCAGAAACTGCTGGTGATGATGATACTGGAGTGCACCCAAAAATCTATAGATTGCCCAGAAAATGTGCAAATCAAATCATTCTAATTTCCTTACCAATTTTTACAGATTTACATGCCATAATAATAAAATTTGAACAATAAGCAATTATTGTATGCCGGCAGTCTAATGGACCTTTCACAAAGAGTCAGCAAACACTACTATTTAAAATTTTGATTTGAACAGGTAGACAAGTAGAAAAGAGTTGTCAGAAGACATAAAGAGAGAAAGGCATACAGAAGAGAAATCACTGGAAAAAAAATGCTGGAAACTAGTCAGGAGTTTAGTAATTTATAATGCCAAATAAGGTTGATACAAGAAAAATAGCATATGTCTTCTTTGTAAGACAGATTGTTACAAGAACACAGCCCATATTACTAGGGCTAGAATCAAAACTGTTTTTTTAGATACAGGTGGACATTAAATGGACTCTCAAAATTAACATGCTAGCCCAATACTTCCAAATGCGTACTGTTCAAGAAGTATGGTTTTTCAAAAGCAGAGGCAAATTTATGAACATAACAGATACTGAGAAGGTGACTGAGTATCACATCTGCAGACACATACACCCTGCACCAGTGGAAGTCAGTAGTCATGGACAAAGTCATTACTGAGAAGTTCCTAAAATCAAGTAAGATTTTGTTCTTGAAACTGCATCCTGAGCACTGACACTCACAGCTCTCAAAAGTGAGCTACCTTTTCTAATCTGCACATGCAAAATCCCACCAAAATAAGAGCACATTATAGTTTCTACTAATATTCCCTTTTGCTGGCCTGGAGGAATTAATCTTTGAAAAACTGTCCCATTTGTTCTGCATCTCAAAGGAGGATGAAGTAAATCTGTTCTGTCTCTTATTTGTCTAATAATACCTGATTGTCTTTGAACAATCTGTATTCACCCTAACTCCCTCACCTGTAAATTACCCCAATTAGTTCCCCTTGTCTCAGGTAATTACTAAGGTTATAAATGCCTTCGCAGTTTCGAACCCCTGCCAAATATAGAGGCCAGGAAGGATCATGCAAAACCTCAGTAAGTCCATGATCATCAAAGCACATAAAATTGGCAGCTTTACACACACAGGGTATAAGAGTATATGTGTATACAGTAGGGTGCATATACAACAGAGTGTGGGATGTCAAAACTTTCATTTCATAATTTTGTTGGATGTGAAGAGAGGATATGAGTTGTCCGGGATAGTAGAGGATTGAAAAGAAGTCCCTCACTGAAAAATGTTGTGTGTTACTGTTAGGGGTTTATTTCATTAACAGATTCTTAAACTACATTGCTGTCACATTGACAGGTGGTTTTTTTTCAAATACTAGTAACTAAAATCTGCTTTTTTTTCCTGTCCTTTCTTATTTTAACAAAGAAAGCAGGGGGTAACAATTTTAGGTGCTGTGAAATCTGGGTGCACACAGTAAGAAACTGCAGCCTTTGTAATAATTTCAGTGAAGTACTTTGGTTGTCAGAGTTCTCAAGAGCCCTGTTCCTCCCTCTCCTGACAGTGGCAAATTTAAAGTATTGACAGACACAGAAAGACAGACTTTAATCTCCTCATTTTCTCTTCTGAAGACTTTCTTGGGTGCTGCTGAAGGAAGGTACTTGCAGTAATTATCAACAAAATTCTATTAAGGATTCAGGTATCACTGTTGATATGTTAAAAAATTCACTGCTTGGTGGAGCTTTCTTCATGCTTGATTTTTTCCTCAACATAAGGTGGCATCCACTTACAAAAAACTGGTAGACAAAAAAAAAATCAAGGAAAATGTCAGATGGAGCAACATGACGCATGCAAAAATGAACTGAAATTATCTCTGAACAGAGAGATCCAGCTGGAGCTCAGGAAAGAAAGGAGAGTTTATCACCTTAACAAGAAGAGGCAGCCAGCTCAGGAGAACTACAAGGATGTTATGAGGTTATGCAGAGAGAAAATCAGAAGGGCCAAAGCGCAGCTAGAATGTAATCTGTCTACTGCCATAAAAGACAATGAAAAATATTTTGGTAAACATTCACACCGAAAGTAAAGCTAAAGCCAAAAAGTAAAGTAAAGCTAAAAAGATCCTCCATCCTTAATGGGATGCTGTGGGGAAACATAGTGGACATGGTGTGGACAAAGTATGAGGAAAAGGCTGAGGTACTTAACTGCTTCCTTCACCTCAGTCTTTAAAACCAGTTGTTCTGTGAGAACCAGTCCTTTGAGCTGGAAGATGGATAGGGAGAAGAAGGAAGCCCCCACAATCCAAGAAGAAATGGTCAGAAATCTGCTACACCAATTAGACACACACAATGGGACTGGGTGAAATCCCTCCACTTAGGGACCTGGTGGAAAAGCTTGCTCAGCCACGTTGCCTCATTTACCAGCAGTTCAGGCTAACTTGGAAGTTGACAAATGGTACACCCATCTTCAAGGTGGGTCAAAATGTGAACTCAGGAACTACGGGCCTGTCAGACTGAGTGCCAGGGAAAGAGTCACTTTCTCTCAGTGCCAAGGAAAGTCATGGAGCAGATCATCAAACCACATGTGCAGTACAGTGAAATGACGAGGCCCAGCCAGCAGGCGTTTGTGAAAAGCAGGTGCTGCTTGACCAACAGGATCTCTTTCTGTGACAAGATGACTTAGTGGATAAGGAAAAGGTTGTATATGTTGTCTGCCTGGACTTTCATAAAGCCTTTGATGGCATTTTACACAATATTCCCCTTGAGAAACTGCGGTTTCCATGGTTTAGACAGACACACTGTTCACTGGGTAAGAAATCTTCTGCAAGACTGGGCTCAGAGTGGTAGTGGATGTAATTAAATCCAGATGTAATGACCAGCCCGGGTCATTCCCCAGGGCTCAGTACTGGAGACAGTTCTGTTGAATAATTTCACTGATGATCTGGACAACAGGATCAAATGAACAGTCAGTCATTTTAGAGATAACACCGAGATGGGTGGGAGTGTTGATCTGTTGGAGGGTAGAAAGTCTCTGCAGAAAGATGTGGACAGGCTGGATCATGGGCCAAGGCCAGTGGTGTGAGTATCAACCATGGCAAGTGCTGGGTCCTGCCTGTGGGTCACAACAGTGCCAGTCAGCATTCCAGGTTTGTAGGTCAATGTCATCCAGGCCTGTACCAGCAATAGTGTGGCCACCAGGAGCAGGGCAGGGATTGTTCCCCTGTACTCAGCACTGGTGAGGCAGCACCTTGAATTGTGTGTTCAGTTTTGGGCCCCTCACTCCAAGAAGGTCATTGAGGTGCTGGAGGGAGACCAGAGAAGGGCAATGGAGCTGGTGAAGGGTCTGGAGCACAAGTCCTGCAAGGAGTAGCTGAGGGAGCTGGGGATGTTTAGCCTGGAGAAAAGGAGGCTCAGACACTTATGGGCATGGTTTAGTGATAGCCTCAGCAGTATTAGGTTAATGGTTGAACTCAATAATTTTAAACTACTTTTCTCACCTATATGATTCTGTAAAAATTAATTTCCCATTCCTTCTTTTGACAGCTGTAATCTGAATGTTCTTCCAAACACATCTCATTTCATCAACACTTAAGATGCTCCGATGGAATAATTACAGCAGCACTCCATAATCTACCATGTTAAAACAATGTTATTTCATTTATGGATTCTAGTAATTAAAGTTCATTTTGGGTTGTGAACATAACTACCCACAGACCAGCTTTACCTTCTCAATGGATAACACCAACATTTACACACTTATAAGTAAACTAAAACACAGTGTGGTTGTGTCATGGCAGAAATTACACTCATTTTTGTTCACCTAGGTTTTTTGATAACACAAGGTGAAACCATGACATCAAAGAAATATCTGTAAACTCATCACTGAAGGACCAGGGCACTTAATGGAGCAAGTGCCTGGAAGGATGTTTACTATTTCAGGAGATGTGTACTCAGCTCTTCTATAATCAGACCTCCTGACAGACTCAAAGCATGCTTCACTCTGCAATTACATTTTCTTCCCTGCAATCAATATAATGGGGTGGTATCTATCTCCCCCCAAACATGCATACTGCAAAGCCTCCCTGTTCTTCTGTGATTTTAATAAGGTAACATGGGAATAACTTCATCCAAATCCTATATATAGTATATAAGGCATATTGGCAGCCATAATACATACAGAAACAAATCTAGCTATATACTAAGAGTAACCATTTCTAGCAAAATGCTAAGATATGCAAAAGTGCCACAGCCATTAGGTATCAAAACAAAAACAACCCAAAAAAAGGAATTTTTTTGAGGGGGATACCCTCCCTAAATGATCATACCAAAGAACTGAAAAATTATGCATAACCTATGAACTGACATCTGGCCTACTAGTCAGAACAGTACTGTTCTTGGGGCTGTTTGACAAGTTAGGAAGCATTAATACTTCAAGAAGGGGCAAGTGGCACACTTACATGGTGTCTGCTGGTATCAGTTACTTGGGACTGCAGTACATGCACTCCCTAGTTATATGCATGCATCATTAAACTGCCAAAGTTGTCACCTCATGTCCTTTAAGATATGTATTGTCTCCCTTGCTGTAGTTTTCCCATAAATTACAAGAGGAATTTGTCCAGCTGTTGCTTCCAGGAAAAGATTGTACCCATATACTTCTTTACACTCTTACACCTTCTGGGTTGAAGGAAAATGGATTGGTTAGCATATCAGACAGCTAATTCATAGGTTAAAACCTGTATGTGAGGAGTGATTAGTCTAAGCAATCAGGTATAACACCCAAGCAATAAATAATGTTGAACTTTAAACTCTAAATATATGTTTATAGTTAACACACTTAGTAACTCCCCAACTCATATATTTAGTAAATGCTAATACAAACCAAGAGAAAAACATACAAGAAGAGAATAATGTATACCCTGATTTGGTTGTTATAGAATGTAAACAGTTTCATGAAGCTTCAACACTGAACTTACCCTGCTCCTTATTTTCCTCCTTAAAAATAAACCACTGTGTCTGAACATTGGAATTCTGGTCTATTGTGAGCTGAGCTGAAATTATGTAGTGGATTCTGCACATTCTGGAAGAGCAAAAAGCTCCTGCTATCTTTGTGAGCTGGTTGAAAAGCGAAAACAGATTAGAAAAATAAGTTTTTCAACAGGCAGCAACACTGCTTTCACACCAGATTTGATGAACAAGTTCTCCCAGCAGCACTAACACCTGATACGCACATTGCATGGATTAGTAAGTTTTAGCCTGAGAAGAAGAAAAAACACTTTTTTTTCAGTTCCAGTAACTGCTGCAGGTATATTATCTAATGAAAACACAGCTAGATTTCTCTAAGGAATGTGGAATTCATTTAGTGTTTCCATCAAACAATTATATGTTGTTCATCCATTATCTGAGAAGCACTCAGGCATATCCAGACCTGATTACATTTATTCTTAGCTCCAGATCAGACTCCACCACTAGGACAACAAGCAGTTCCTGATCTTTGCCCTACCATATCCTCGATGCAGGCATTTACCAAAGGGGTTTCTAATAACAATACAGCTACATTTACTTAGTATCTTGACAATCCTAAATCAGAATGTCTTTGATCACGAATGGAGACTGTTGCAGTGTTTCATATTAAAGGATAAATTTTCATAGATGTGTAAGAGAGATTTGCTGACTGACTTCTATTCAGACCACTGGGAGGTAAACAGCTCAATCCCCAAACACTGATCTGAAATGCATCCTTTCAAATACCATAATTTCAAAAGATGCCAGACTTTTCAATAACTAAGAAGCTTCTAAGAACAACAGTATCTTTTCCACTGATACATCTGTTAGTTAATGCTACTTTCAGGAAAATATTAGGTCTGCAGAAAGCAGAAGAGCTCAGTTTTTCACAGGAGAAAAATGCAGAGCGCTCCTAGGAGTAGTATCCCTTGAGCTGCAAAGCCAGTATTCTCTGGCACCTGACAGCGGGTACTTGGTGGGTACTTGAGAAACACAAAGTGTTCAGCTGGGCCCAGGGGTGAAGGGGGGCAGGAAAAGGGGAGGGTGGGGACAGTTTGGTGGGCTTCTTCAGCTTCAGGGAGGGACACTTTTTGCTGGAGCCATTGCAGCTGGGAAAAGGGAATTTGCCATCACCCACACAGAGCTGTTGCTTCTTCTTCTCCTTCTTCCTTCTTTGCTGGGGGGCCTCGCACTCTGTGTCCTGCCGGGACGTGTGGCAGTGCCAGCCACCGCCTCAGAGCTGCTGATACACCTCAGCCACCGGCCCAGGATCTCAGCTCATCCCTGCTGTTCCAGCTGAGTGTTCCTCAGAGCCCTGCAGGAGCACCGGGACTGCCCACCCGAGGGGGTTTGTGAAGCAAAGCCTCTCCTCCATCCCTTCCCGCCTCAGCCAAGAAAGCTGTCACGGGGTCCCTGGTTCTGTTTTGTTGTTAATGCTGTAGTTATTGTTGTTTGTTTGCCTGGTTATACCAGTAAAGAACTGTTATTCCTATCCCCAGATCTCTGCCTGAGAGCCCCTTGATTTCAGAATTATAATAATTCAGAGAGAGGGAATCTACATTTTCATGCCAAGGGAGGCTCCTGCCCTCCCTAGCAGACACCTGTCTTCCAAAATGAAGACAATTGCAAATGTAGAGGGAAACAGAATCTTTCTTGAATTGCAAATCTTGCTCATATGTGCCAAGTGCACAATGTGGTCTTTAAGTTATAGAACCATAGTAGTTTATTTAAGTGCATAAGGGAAATAAAAATCTCAGCTGCTTTTTGAAAATGTAATAAACTACACTATATATAGATAAACTAATATCTTTTCCTGGATGATTTTTATCATTAATAATGTTATCTCACAATCTAAATATCAGGAAGAGTAAATAAGTTGTTAGAACAGATTCTTGAAAGCCATTCCTCAATTACAGCAGAAGTTTCCTATTTTCCAAGGAATTTTTACAAGTTACCTCAAAGTGACAGAGAAGGATATATGGAATTCCCTCTTTCATATCCTTTATTAAATACATATTTCTTATTTAATAAAAGATTTTCTAAGATTACTCTTGATTAATTTGGTCAAATGACAAAGACTAACTAGAACAACCAACATTTGGAAACCCATTAGAAAATAACAATTCTCAGTAGTTAAAGCAACAAACATGAACTGAACATTAAGATGTTATTTCCTCAAGATCATAAGTAGTTCAAGAGGTTCCAATTCTCTAATTTAAAAAAAGAAAACCAATCAAATTCCACAAAGCCCCCCCAAAAAAACAAAAATCAAGAAAACAAACCAGAATGAATCGGAGAAAGTACTTACTACAATGTCTTCAGGAAAAGTATCCAGACTGAAGGAGCCATCATCAAACATGACTTCATAGAAAAGCTGAGATGTCACTCCTATGACTCTGCAACTATAGTATCGTGTATTTCTATGTTTCGTGATGACTGTCTGCCCAACTGTAATGGCTTTCCCACATACTTTAGCTCTCTTAAAAGAAAAAAGAAGAATTTGAAAGAAAAAAAAAATTTTAAATACCAGTTTACTCATAAAAATGTATCAGTGTATAAAAACAGGGTTGATAACAGCTCGCCATTCAAGAAAAAAATTTCAAATTAAATTAATTCAATCATGTTAACATAATTTCTTTTACATACAGAATTTCTCCACTTTGTGGGAAAAAAATGACACCTGAAGAATCAATGCATATTTCTACAACTGATGCTTTAAAACTATTCTGCATCACATCAATAATATATAATTAGAAAAATCTGTAATTTTGTTTGTAGAGTAATTTGTCGAATTTTCCTGAAGATATAAGATGCAATGAACCAAAAGTATGGTTGTGATTTTTTTTAAATGATGAGATTTTGAAGTACTGGATTTCTGTATGATTCTGTGTAATAGAATGAAATTTTGCTCAGTGAGATGCAATAATTAAATGCATATCAAGCTCTTGCAAGAGCTGTCTGCAACACCCTATCTGAGGAACTTTTTAACCTACATTGTGCAGAACTTTTGCTTTAAAGCTTCAAGCAGCACTGAATTGTGCAGAACTTTTGCTTTAGAGCTTTAAACAGCACTGATTACTCTTCATCAGTTACTTGCATAGTATATCAGCAACAATATTTTTTTTTTCACTTTCCACTTCTAATCCTCCCATGCTAAATATATCAATCAGAGGACTAGCAGGGTTGTTAAACTATGCAGAATTTCTACATCAATAACTACTTGATGGATTCTATAAACATAAAACAATGGAACTTTGTAGGAAGGCATCACTAAGAAGCTGACACCATGCAGACAAATGTTACATCTCAGCTCACAGCTACTGTATACCCATGAACCTTCCACTTTAAAAGCAACTTCCTCCACCGGGAAATACAAACTCAGTATCTTCTCATCCACACACAGAAGGCACCTCTTTCTTATGAGCTTGACTGTTCAGTATCTCACAAAGGTCTGTTGTTTTTATGTAAAGGGAAGCTGTTGTGAGTTTGGCTATACCTGAACAGTTGAACATTTCTAGTTATGTAAGATGCATGTGCACTGGAATATGTAAGGACATGAAATGTTTATATAGACTAGAAATGTTTATATAAACTGTGCAAGAATATTTTAATACACAATCCACACTAAAGTAATTATCAAATTTCCTAGCACTGCTTTTGAAACTTTCAAAGGCAGTAAATTCTTCAGTCAATATAATACTCTTAAAACTGTCTTATGAAAATCTGGTAAATCCTACAGCTGTAGGATTTTTATCAGTAGAATTGAAGCAAATAAAGAATAGCATCATTTCTTTTACTTAGATTTCAAATACCAGCAGTAAAGTGAATGCTTTGGCGTAAGAACCCACCATAAATGTGAAGACTTCTGATTTTGAGCTGACTTCCTGTCACTATTGGGCTTCTTTCCTGGACCTATTTATGGGAGTTATAATTTTAAAACCTCTCTGCTCCTGAAAACTAAGGGCATACCAAGTACAAATATTCTGTGCCATTTTTATAGGCAGTGCACTAAATCTCTGTGTGTCAGAGCTCTGCCTGTCACAGACATTTGTGGGATTTAGTTGAGGGCACCTCAGATAGTAAAACTCAATGATATTCCTAAAGCCTTTCAAAGTATATCTAGAAATAACATTCTAAGCACAATCACAAATTATTTAACCATTAAATGTATAACAAAATTGTTTCTTCTTTATTTTAACTATCTATAGGTAGACTAAGTATAAAAATTAACTACATAAATACAATTGACTGATATTATCATAGGAGCAATAAAATGTCCATAAGCATGTTTTATCTGATCTTGAAACATATGTAAAAATACATGTTAATTTATCTATTTTTTTTATTTTATCCAGCTTTTGGTGGAGGCAGAGGTGGAGCAGATGTAAACTAACTGATTTATTTCTATGAGATAGTAGAAATTATACTATGTGTGTATATATATAGTATATACATAGCATACATATATATACTAAGCATATATGTATGTGTATACATATACACTATATGTAAACACATACACACAGACACATATATATATACATATACACTATAGTATAGTATATAATCTATATTACAGAAACCCAAGAAGATATTGCACTATTAAAAGGTCTAACTCTTCTTTAAAAGAAGATGTAACTCTTCAGAGAAGATGGAGGGCAAATTATAATATTTTAAGAGACATTACAGATTCATTTAATGATAACATTTTCAGAGAAGGAGTGCCATTTCTCATTAGAAAAAGTAATAAAACACAGAAGTGCATTCTAGCTCAAGGAGGTTATTTTTTATCTTCATAGGATTCCTAATTTATTTCACAAGTACACTCTGTAACCGATTGCATGTCCCAGAAAACATTTCCTGACAGAAAATCTTAAGACTTTATTGATGTTAAGAATTTATTGATGTCATTTTTGACCAGAAATAACAGCTATTATGTAAGGGAGTCTATCAGATTAAGAAACAGCTGTGGTAGTTACCAGATTATTGAGAAAGCAGTAGTTTAAATAGCATGATTTTCTTTAATGGTACCAAAGCCAAGAATAAGCTAAGATAGTGGCAGAAATACAGAAACCAACCAAATACAAAGAAAGAAAATCACCATTTCTGTGTGCAAACTTCAAAAAGATAAAAGCAAAAATTACTTTCGCCTTCATTTTCTGTATGGCAGAAAGCAAAAACCTTAAATACATAAACTACGTGGATATGAATTCATAATAGCTATCTATCATGAAGTAGGTTTCTGATATACATCTAAATATCCAGAAAATTTCTCAAGCTACAATTTTTAATAGGGGATCCTAAAAGATCTGAGACTTATTCCATACAGGAGCTTAAAACTCATGTTGTTGTTTACTCCTTTGAATTCAAATTTCAGCATATTATACATGATGTTTCTAAAATAATTCAGCTCATGATTTTTGAATAACACCTCCTTCTGAAAGCGTATCTTAATCTTTCTGAGATGTTTGGGGGCTGGCAGTAGTTAGCAGACAGTGGCAAACAATGACACTCTATCACTAAGGTATTCAACAGAAAAAGGATCTACAGCTTCCATTGGACACCATCCCTTCATTCCCTTGTGTGGTACAGTGTTTCAGAACGGGCTGATAAAAGTAGAAGGTAATTTGAAGTAGCTCCAAGAAGATCATTATTCTTTCAAAGTTACTGGGGCTGTCTAGATAGCCCCTTCTAATCTCCATTTCCAAAGGAAATAGCTGTGAGTACAGGTTTGTCTCCAGCTGGCTTTCTCTGATCCACCAGGCTTATATGGATCTTTTGGGGCTGGGTTTTTTTCTGTTATAATAGTTGCATACAACTCCTTTTCCTCAGTTTTTTGTGTGAATGAGTTCTTTTAATCAAAACAAATCCATCTGCAGCATCTATTCTCAACTGTACTTCCATGTGTTCTTATAGTTTTGATGACAAAGATGTGTGAGGGGTATGTTTCATGCCCAGAGACAAGCACAGTCAAGGAGAAAAAAGGGAAAAAAAACCCCAAACCACAACATGTAAGTAGCAAATCACAGAGCCTTCATTGCATATTGGCAGTCCAATTTACATAAAAAATAACATATGCAATGACAGCAATAACCCAAAATAGAACCTATATAGAAAAATTGTTCTGCTAGAAAATTCTTGTGTTATTTCTAAAGCTATACCTTCAGAGGCTTAGTTTTGAGTCCATGAACATGGAAACATATTTTTGAAAAGTCGTATCAACATTTAAAAACTCCAGTTCATAGTATTTCTGTATTTACTTCATTTGGCAGCACCAGATGAATTAAAGGATTATTGCTTTCCCTTTTGATTTTCTCTTTGATGATTTTTCTTCAGAAGACCCCGCCAGAGTTTTCAATGACTGACATCAAAAAGGCACTCTAAAATACTGAAGACAATACAGAACCTGATCCCCAGTGAAAAAGACTTATGAAAGTATGTTGAAAAATTCTTCTTGTGTCCACAGGCATAAGTAAGTTGGATGCACATTGTACTTCATCACTACAATAGGCTCTTGACTGGGGTTAAGAGATACATGAATAATAGTAATAATACACAGTGATCTGTTTGGGTAGGCATTTTTTGTTGAGCGCCCTCATTGATTTACATTACAGTGATTAAAATACCACTATAGGTTCACAATTATAGGTGTCACAATTTTTCCTAATGCTCAGAAGTCATTCTTTGACTGTTGAGTTATTTGGTTTTGAATTTTTTTTTTTAAACTTGAAGAAAGCAGCAAACACCAAGTCAGTAGTCACTCAGCATTTAGATACAGTATTTCTGTATTAATGAAAAATCAGAGAATTTTATGTTTTTTCTTGAAACTAGGAGAAATAATAGTGTCCTTGCTTTATGAACAATGTTTCCTGTTAAATACCAGAAGAGATTTTTTTTCATACTGACAAGATAATCTATTTGACTCCTGTAAAAATTTGCTAAGTGAGTACAATATTACAGTCTGCATGATTCCCTGTTCTGCTTCTAAGCAAGGAAACTAAAACAACAGGAAAAAAAAAAAAAGTTGATTAGAAGTAAGATACATTGCTATGCCTAATGGTGAAGAGCAATGTTATTTCTGCATGAAGGAATAGCTAATAGCTAAGAAAAGCATAACAAGAAAACCAATGGTGAGAAAACTTCCGAAGGCTTAAAGATGTGATTAGATTAATTATCCAAAAGACAGAGTATAAAACCAAGCATTTAAAAACATATGGTAATCTCCTTTGTCTCAAGAGTAAGCTAATACTTTTACACAGAAATATTCTTTAACAAAGTATCTATTCTTTCCAAATTTTGGCCCAATTGAAAACACCAAAAGCGTAACTTTAATCTCTCTTCTGCAAATCTAACTTTTAGCTGATCCATGGAGGGGAAAAAAAAGGTCGTAACAGTGAATCTTTTCAAAAAAGTTAGTGCTGAGTTTCAGGAAAGGATGTAATAGTCTCATTCCAAGACACTTTCCATGTCATTAACACAATCTCTTAAACAATAGCCGCACAAAATCCTGGCTTTTTGATGTTGATAGGGTTTCCTTTCTTCTCTACTACTTAATATAGGTCAAGAAAATCACTAAGAAAGCAGGGAATTTATGGGACTGAGGAAAATCCCACTACCTATATTATAAAGATTTGTCCCAAAAAGATACTAGAAAACATTTGGGAAATGTTTGCCCTGTTCTTACTGGCCATGAATTTAATCCATTAATATTCAACCAATGTTTTCAAAAAACCCCAAGGAGAATATCTTAAGTTGCTTGTACCGACAGAAGTTTGTTTGTTTTTCAAACTAAATTCATTTTCTTGGAAAAGGTATGAAGAAATCAAAACCACATAAAGTGTACTGGTTTAATGTGTTCATTCATTTTTGGAAAACAGAAATATTTTAAACCTTAACAACTCTATGGAAATTTTAAACAGGGATAAACAGTATGTCTCCCTTTTTAAAAATCACCTGCAGATTGAACACTCAGAACTGATTAGTTGGGAAGCACTGTAATTTAGTACACTTGGAAGAAAATCCTACTCTTCAGCAGACTTGATAAGTCTTATCATTAAGACCAAGGATTCATTGACAAGCTCTTAAAAGAACAACATATATAATACAGACATTACCTGGGTTTATGTCTTCCATTCTTAATGCATAAAGGAGAAAAAAAAATTGCAACTTGACTGACCAAGCAAGCTCTTTCCTTAATAAGACTATGTTAAGTCCTTCTGGTTTGCTAGGAAACAAAATACAGCTTTAAAAGCCCAAGATGAATAGCAAAAGTTCTCTCTTAACTGAGATAGTAACCGTTTATTCAAGTAAAAGACATTAAATTCTTCATTGTGTCTCATCTAAAATTAAAGGGCCCTCCTCAGCACAGAATAAAAATAAAAAGGCAGTAATAAAATGAATTTTCATGGCACGCCAATGTTACTTTGCCAGATGACAAAATAATTATAAATTGGATATTTTCAAGAGACTCTTTGGCTGCAGAATGAAGATTTTACATATACACCACATCCATTATCTCACATGATCTGTGAGTATTTGCAGGAAATTGTGATCTGGGTATTTATAATACACTTCAGGTTAACAAAACAGAGAACTCAGAGATTTGTTCTGGCTGTCAAAACAATATACTCAACAAGGACTTTAAATTAAAAAACGTGTTAGGCATATCAGGTATCACTTCTCCCAGGTAACAGCATAATGAAAAACTTTCAAGCTATAAAAGAGTGCTATACATAAAAATAAGATAGACGGAACTATGATAATACATAGAGTGGATCCTTTCTTCCATTTTCTCTTTATATACTTTAATTCTGCAACTCCATTTTTTTAACAAATAAGAAAACATATTCCTTACCACATTTTGGTTGATCTTGTGCCTGAAACATGTGATGTAGACAACATATGGCCAGTCGTCAGGTTCCATCAGCACTCCTGCAGCATGGGCACAGGTAACATGGAAGGATGCTGGGCAGCGTCCATATGAACACTGAATGCAGGCACCAGAGATTTTCTTAACTCTCTGCCTACAGAAGATACATTTCTGTAGGAACAAAATAAGCAGAATATTTTCTGTATTACTCCAACTTAAATGGTTCCTGCAAGTAACTCAAAGACAGAAAAGTTACTTGTGATCCAATTATTACATTTTTCACCTTACAGTATGCACAGCAAAAAGAACAGCATTTATGAATTACAAGGCAACTAAGTAATATAATTAATACATAGCATTTTTGCCTTTTCATATAAATTGTGAAGACAATCTAGTCCAATGCTATAGCAAGAAAACAATAGATAGATAGATAGATAGATAGATAGATAGATAGATAGATAGATAGATAGATAGATAGATAGATAGATAGATAGATAGATAGATAGATAGATAGATATTTTAAAGTTTAATTTTAAATTCCATACTCTGAAAATTAACCTACTCTTCTAAAATTGGTACATCAAAAACCATCTACATGATTTGACAAGAAACAACAGCAAGACTCAAAAATAAAGAGAATAGGCCCAACTGAAATGTCAGGCTAAATAGGACTTCATACATCATTTAATTTAGTTCCCTGCTATGAAGCTGGACTAGATATATATGCAGACAGACTTTGTGAAATGGCTAATTTAACACATTCAGGAAACATTTTCTACAACATCCTCAGACAGCTTGTTACAGTGGAAAAATTTCCTCTAAGTTAGAGACATTATCTTTATTTCAAGGCTTTGCATAGTTCGACAGCTGAAGGCTGTTCCTAAGACAATTTTTTTTTCAGCCTGGTTTTCATTGGTTGAGTATTTAATATAATGTCAATACAGTAGGTTGTATTTCCTCATGTCATATACTCAATGTCATGTTAACAGCCTTAGTGGTATCAAGGCACATTGGTTTTTTTCCCTTTTGCCAAAATGAAGACCACATCAAAATAATGTCACTATTTTGTAAGTGACACAAGTAATGAGCCAATAGGAAAAGACGACAAAGTGTTATAAGCTAGGTCAACTATGTCTGGGGAATAAGTTCTAATATACTAAAAAAGACAAACACAACATGAACTGAACCTTGCCACTAATAAGGCATTAACAAGCACACCATATAGAATAATTATTTCAGTAACTTCTGTGGACAACTGTTTTATATCACATATGAGAATTATCCTCTGACAGCTCTTATCATGGCTACTAAACATGCAAATTTTATTGATTATCACAAAATTATCTCAGTTATTATAAACAGATTTTATGCAATGACACAAAACAATTCAATAAAACACTCTTGGAATATATTGCTTACTTTAATTTCCTCTAAATTTGCTGCCCACCAGTTTGTTAAACACACTCATTTGCCTATATTGAGAACACAAGTAAAAACAATTTTGATGTGTTTTTGCTGCATGATTAGTAACTTTAAGTGTTTACTGTTAACTCACATCTAATTCTTATTCAGAGGTGACCAAGGAACTTTGTTCTCCATTGCTTCTTGATTTTCAAATTCTGCATAAAACTGGAAGAAATTTTATTGTATAATTTAGCACTTAAATTGCTTCAGTGGCTTCTGGCATGCAGTCTGTGACAGAAGTAATACTTCTGGTAAAGGCTAGTCCTGTCAAGCTCACTGGTCGTAGCTCCTGTAACTACCCTGAATGTGAAATACTCTTCAAGTCCCACCTTCATGTTCACCCCTAGAAAGAAAACTGCCTGTATAGCTCTGAACAAGCAGAAATTAAAGAGTAGGGCCTAGCATCTGAACTTAGGAAAAAAATTTAGCTATCATTCACTAAAATGACTCAAATTCAGCTCACTCTACTGTAGCACCATTAGGCTTAAAAAACTAGTAAGAGGTAAAGATGATTTTGCCATCAAAAGAAATGCTTCAGACACTTTGCTCATATGCTGATTATCTTGTGGTGCATTTCTTTCATGCACATGAGATCTAAATTTTATATATACATAGTCAGAACCGACTAAGTGGAAATTCCAGATAGGAAATACAATTGAAATCTACTATGTGTAATATTGTGGAGGAAGCCCTACAGGGAGGACAGGCCTCCTCCCTGGAGATCTGCCCCCTAAGATAAGACAAAACTGCCTAGTCATGGTGACTCAGCTGTGGATGCCTTCCTGCTTCTGCCCCCCATGTTATCTCCCTGTTAACTATTGGTCATCTTATCCCAGACTATTGCTCCCCTTCCCAATTCTCTCCTTCCCTATAAAAACCCAGCTTTTGCCCAGCTCAGTGGTTAGACCATCACTGGCCCCCTTCACTGCAGCCTGCATTAAAGGGCTGAACAGAGCTGATCACAGAGCAGAAATCACTGCTAAAAGAGCTGATCACCCAAAGCCTTTGCCCATGCTCCAAAGGGTTACCCCCGTCTGGAGACTGCCTGGAAACCCTGGATGGCATCTCCCCACCGGGACATCTATCTAGGCTGATGCTAGCAGAAGCTGGGGGTAGGACAAGCCTCCAGGACCCAGCCGCAACATAATATCTAGATATTGAGTTCACATAAATAACAGAGCTCCACTTGAATGCTTTTTCATACAGGTATACACAAACTCAACAATCAGATTAATGGAAGAAGAAAGACCACTTTTAAGTACTAAAAAAAATCTGAAAACAAAGGAAAAACAACCAACCTAAAACCCAAACAAAAAACCCCAGAACCAAGACTACACCCAAAAAAATCCCACATGTGTTCTGAAATAAACACCCCAAAAACGCAAAATGCAGAGAATGAGGAAAAGGAATAAAGTAACGTACAGCTTAACTAGCATTAACTGAAGAAATTGTAATGTTACAGCAGGAAATGTCGGTCCCCCTTAAATTGTTGGCTGCACACGCACAAGGGATCAAATATGTAAACATTACAATGTGGTTGTAAGTTTCACCTATATCTTACCAAAGTATTATAAAACCTTGGGAGATGCAAAAATCTAAAACTACACTGTGTGAGTAAAGTTCAGAAAAAAGATGAATTTACATCTCTATATATGTAGAATTGTTCTTTTAAATTAGTATTTTAAGGTTTATTACCTTACAAAAATAAAAAAGCTGAGAAAAATAAAAGCAACATCAAAGCAGCAAGAAATGCTGAAAGGGAAGCTGGAAATGTAGTCAAGGAAACTGAAAATGTGACAAATTAAATGGCATGGCCAAATCCTCAGAAATCAGAAAACTTCATCCCCCACTGTAAGAGAGGCTTACTTGACTGCTCTCTTCCAGCACAGGTTAACTTAATGAGACAGGTCTGACAAAGTGGTATGGTATGAGAAAACATTTCTCACAATGCTTTTCACAGTTTCAACTTGAAAGTACTGAAATAATTATTAAAAAACAAGCCGTCCAATTACTATTGACTATATTTTTATTTCAGTCATGTTGGTGTAAAACTAGTGTAATTTTGATGAATGGTAAAGTTGCTTCAAATTTATATAAAAGGAAGATTGCTTGGTCATAGGTATTTCTGTGAATGCAGGTCTAAGTTTCGATGATGAAAGTGAAAAATTTCCCATTTTTACCACGCAATAAATCCATCTCACTGCCAAATACAAAGAGAGTAATTGTTAACTCCAAACCCACATTCATTTTTTATACACTCTTCAGGTATCAAAAGGATTACATCATGGATACGAACAGGTGGAAAAATATTACTGTACTGCAGGAAAAGAAAAACTTCCCTATTTCTCTCTGTGCTTAAGGAATACCAGAAAAACTATGAAAGCCATTCTTTCAAGAATGCAGGACAACACACAAGATTTACAAATGAAGAAATAAGTTTCTTATTTTATGTAAGATGCTGTGTCCTTTGTACAAGTATGACACTGAGAAGGATGATGCAGATGTATCCCAGCTTTACAATGACTCAAACTGAGGCATGAATTTTGAAAAGTACACATAGAAGTCCACTGTTCAAGCAAACTACAACTTGCATAACTGTATCAGGCAACATGGCCCCATTCAGACGTATGAAAAGGAGAAAAGGCCCCTTCATATTTGAAACTATACATTGAATAGTCAATCCACTTTAATTGAGAAATAAAATCAGATCACATAAAATAAAAGCTGAGCAAGCTATAAAAAATCTGTTTTGCATAGATGTTTGGAACATGAGCTGAACTACATACCAAATTGTGTGTTAGCTATAAGTACTAAACTGAATTGTGCTGTGTCTGGCCCATACTGGCAATTCTTCCCCTCCCTGGTTTGTGAAAAATAATATATAGCTCATCCTCTCACTTGGGGTTTTACAACATATGAGGGTTTTTTTCTACTTTTTTTCCTATGTTAATATTATTTATTATAGTGTGGTGATACATGAAAAAAAAAGAGAGGATGATGCAAATGTATAAAAAGTAAAAAAATTGAAACAACCTCACTGAAAGTGACCAAAGGAAAAAGGCATCAGAATCTCAAGAGAAGGCTGTGAAGATTGAGGTTTCAGTCTCCCCTGACTCTTCCTGAAGTCTTACTTTTGAAAGTTTGTAAAATGAAGGATTTGTACAGAACAGAACCAATCCCAAACTATTCCTGCAAAATAAATAGTCGAAACACCTCTCTGTCAGGGCAAACCTTGTATATAGGTACATAAGCTTGCGACTTGGGAAACGAACAAACCTGACATACCATGAACATGTTTTGTAAAATACAATAATGCTAATTCAATGCCCAAATGACAGTTTTTCAGTAGCTTGAAACTACAGCTGTTCCTACCAGCTCGAGCAATTCTAGACAGCTAGGAAGAATGTCATTTTGATTTAATGATTGCTAGATATTAGTGCAAAGCAGAGACTGGGGGGAAAATAGCTGAGGATCAATCTTTATCAGAGATCCAGATGCAAAATGAATTGGAGAATAAATAAAATCGTTTATATAACTGGAGATTAAGAATATAGGACAAAACTATGTCCTGCAATTTTCTAGATTGTGAAATGACCTCTTTCTGCCCCCCAAAAGAAAAATACTCTGCTGCAAATTAATTTCATCATCACAGAATAACTCTTTAATGTTAATAGTCTGCAAATCTATAAACAGAATGGATTTTAAAA